GACGAACCATTGCAATATATAAGACATATACATTGATTAAATAACTCTAAATATTATCTCTTTAATAAAGAAATAATTATTTAGATATTTATCCATAATTTTGCCAAGTCATAGAGACATATGACATGGCATAATTTGATTGGCAAAGACATTTCAACAATTTTAATTGGTCGAAACACCTCAACTTGACATGTAAAGAGACATGATTAGCTGTCGAATAGCCAAATTTCCAAGTGTGCATGATATGTGGCAATATTCAATTGGATAAAAAATAAATCATAAACATGATTTATAGACCAATGATAATTTTTAAAATTAATTAAAATTCCATTGTTCACACATATTTTCAACAAATCTTTTGATCCTATGGAACCGCAACTCATCCACACGTGAGCATTAGATAATAGCATCAAGGCATCAATTAAGTTGCGAAGTTGAGTTAGAAAAAAAAATTCTATATGTACTTCTAAATATATAAGCACTTATTCGAACAATGAAAAAAAATTGATGGAGGGCCAACTTTTATGGTTATGCAAAGAATTAGGTGTCATCAAATTTTTACAACCTGATGTGTGCATGGATAGCGAGATGGATGGCGGCCCTGACTCAAGGCTTTCATAGAGATATTGAAGGCTTGGAAGGAGACAATCAAGTTATCTACACCATGATCCAAGCCCATGAAGAGTCAAGTTATCTACACCATGATCCAAGCCATGAAGAGTCAAGTGGGCCTCCAAGTGAGTTGGCCGAATAGGGCCATAAGCCTTAGTGTTAGGAGTCTTAAGTTTAGATTAGTCCTTTTGTTAGCCATGGATTCAGCCCACCTTTGTCTAAGGATGGCCGAACCACTAGGCCCTTTTTATTGAGTCCATGGGTCGGCCCACCTTGTCCAAAGAGTGGCCGACCCTCTAGCCTTGCGATATTAGGGTTTCGTTAGTTTTGCCTATATAAAGGCTTCCTTTGTAAGCATAAAGGTAGACGTTTTATCAATAAAGTTTTGCATATTTTCGATTCTTCTTGAGAGAGAGATTCGACCCCTTTACTTGCTTTGGCAAGGGTTTTGAGCAGTCTTGCGTCCTGTCCTAGATTGTTCTACCGACCTATTCCCCTGGAGTATTCACCTTCATCGGAGTGTCGTCTACCATCTTGAATCAAATCGTGTCGTCCGTTTGGTTCTAGATCCCGCAATTCCAAGCGTTGGACATCCTCGCTAGATCCTTGGGCAAACGTGCTACGTGTCTCGAAACGTGTTGATCGAGGAACCTATCAGTTGGCTTCAGAGCTTTGGTGGAGGTATCTTCCGTTATATCCGTAGTCTTGTCCTAGTTTTCCTTATTTCTCCGCTGCCTTGTTTTATAGAAAAAAAAAAAAACGTCACTGTTCATCCGACACTGTTCACCCGCTACTGTTCATCCGACACTGTTCACCGCTACTGTTCATACGCACTGTTCATGTTACTGTTCATCCGAACACAAAATCTGTTAGTGTGTTATCTCCTTTGTGTTGTGTCTAGTTTGTTGATAATTTCTGTCCACAACTTGTTTCTTGCGTTTGAGTCGTTTGTGCATCAAAAAAATTCTGGTTTGTTGGTGTTTCAACGTTGCTCCCAAATCTGTCTCGTTAATTGGTTGTCGCTTGGGCAGCAAGAACAATAACGTGACGGCTGCTAGGGTTTCTTTATCTTGCTAGGGTTTCCTTCTCTTGCTAGGGTTATCCTTGCGGCTAGGGTTTTCTACTTGCGGCTAGGGTTTCTTTGTTTCACTTGGACACTCTCCTACATTCTCTACATTTTAGGAACACTCTCCTAAATTCTCTCCTACATTTTAGGAACACTCTCCTACATTCTCTCCTACATTCTCTCCTATTTTAGGAACACTCTCCTACATTCTCTCATCCATTTTAGGAAACTTGTATATATTCTCTCATCCATTTTAGGAAACTCTTCTATAATCTCTCATCCATTTTAGGAAACTTTCCTATATTCTCTCATCCATTCTAGGAAACTTTCCTATATTCTCTCATCCATTTTAGGAAACTCTCCTATAATCTCTCATCCATTTTAGGAAACTCTCCTATAATCTCTCATCCATTTTAGGAAACTTTCCTATATTCTCTCATCCATTCTAGGAAACTTTCATATATTCTCTCATCCATTTTTAGGAAATTTTCCTAAACTCTTTCATCCATTTTTTTGGAAACTTTCCTAAATTCTCTCATCCATTTTTAGGAAACTCACCTAAAATTCTCTCATCCATTTTTAGGACCTTTCCTATATTCTCTCATCCACTTTAGAAAACTCTCCTATATTCTCTCATCCACTTTAGGAAACTCTCCTATATTCTCTTCCTAGATTTTAGGAACACTCTCCTACACTTTCTCCTATATTTTCTCCTAGTTTTTAGGAACACTTCCCTACACTTTCTCCTGCATCTCCGTGATTACTCTTGAGGGAAAAGTCGGTGACGTTTATTGGACTTGTGCGGCATTTCTCAACTACCCAATCCGACAAGTAAAGGAATTTTGGTAAGCTTATTTGAGTGCTTTGAGTGATACACGAGTGATGAGTACATACACGTGAGCTTGTGTGTCGTGAGGAATCTCCTTTTCTTTGCTAACCATTTTTACAGGTCACGTAATCATGCCAAGGGGAGTTGCCTCTTACTCATACAACCCAGAATTCTTGGAGAATGAGCCTCTCAAGAGGAGGGGTTCCAAGCGGCCTACTCCCAAGCACAGTTCCATGGAATCTAGTTCACAACGTGAGTTTCGCTCACTCCGGGAGGAGATGGAACGTTACCGTGCTTCGTGTATATATGAAAGGTATAAACGAGATTGTGATGAGTATGAGAAGGAGCAAAGAAGTTTGCACCGAACATCTAAATTGAGATCAACCTCAAGCAAACAAGATTCATCTACGAAGTGCCTTGACAATCAAGGCAAGGCGTTCGCGAACTCTCGAATTGAGGCAAAGCTTCGTGAATCAAAGGATAAATTCCAGAGTCGGACTGAAGCATTGATTGATGATATGATGGAAAGACTTAGCCAAGTGTTGGATTCACACTTGGATCAACTTACCCATGTGCCAACTGGTGGTGATAAGGGGAAAATTCAGTCTAGTCCCTCGTTGATTGAAGAGCCATGTACGAATGAGTTGCCACCGAGCCATGAACAAGAGCTAGCCAATAAAAATCCGAACTCAAGTGCAATAAATGAACAAATGTCCAAGAAGAATGAAGTGGGAAAAGGCAAGAATAATTTGGCCTTATTGCTGAGTAAAGAGGAGGAGTTGGCCATGTTCGCAAAAGTTGAAAGTGTGGACGTTTTGTTTGCTAACAAGCTAACATGTGTTGTGTTTAGTACCTCTTCTTTTGTGCAGATTAAACAAAGTCAAGTAGAGTTGGTCATGGCATGTTCCATTCCGAAGTCACTTGGACACTTTGCGAGTTTCCATGGAGTTTGTCTCCTAGGAGCTAAATCTCTTTGGTATCAATCCATGGAACAATCTCCATTCAAACCTGTCCGCGCCATGGGAGGAGTCATTCGAGCCCATTATTTTGACGAGAAGTATGGTAAAGTTATCCAAAATTTTCCAACTACGACTAAAGAGTTGCAGCCTGATTTCATGCTTGTTCCAACTGCGTGTTACGCGAATGCATGTGATTCGTATGGGGTGAATTTCACTTCATTCTTGCCGCTTATGTTGGGTGATGCCCGCAAGGGTGTCAATCAAGATCCGAGTGCTGTTCTTACCTCACTAGTTCGTGTTTCTATGGATGTGCAACACGGGTGGCTCAGTGTCCCACCTCCAGAGTGGCAAGTTGTGCCGATTCAGTGCCTGGGGCTAAATTACACCACCTTGCACAACCAGGTTCGAGGCTTTTCTAGTTTCAATGAATATCGTTATGAAGTGCATGTGAATGTCCGGGTGCGAAGGCTAATTAGCGAGCTTTGGGTTGCAACCTGGAACGTTCACAAGCCTTATACACGTTCCTTCCTACCTTGGAGAATGTCCTTGTTTGAGAACCCCTTGAAGCTGACCAAGAGACATGTGCACCGAATTATCTTAATCATAACATATGCAAGTATCATTCAATCTAAGAGGGCCAATATGTGGAGATTTGAGGTGTCATGCTACTATCTCTTGTTAGTATCATTCATCTCCATCCAGATTTGAGGACAAATCCTTCTCAAGAGGAGGGGACTGATGTGTGCATGGATAGCGAGATGGATGGCGGCCCTGACTCAAGGCTTTCATAGAGATATTGAAGGCTTGGAAGGATGACAAGTTCCATAAATTTTGAAGAAAAGAAAACTTAGTTCCGCCCCCTTTTCTTATTTTTTTTAATATCTACTATGTAATTATAAGGACATTTTGGAGATCTTAAAATGAATTTATAACAAAATTAATCAATTTCTCTCAATTAATTAAGAGTGTGGGAGATTTTTTATGTTATCTAACAAACAAGAGAGGATATAGCTGTTATTCATAAATCAAGAGAGAAGGTCTCTGATTTTTGTAAAAACTAAAAGGATGTTACTATAATTTACCTTAAATTTATACTTTTTCTACTTTTTGTAGTGCAAGTCGATCGATGACATGTATTTCTTTATACTTTGAATAATAATATAACAATTCAAGTTGACAGGGAACGTGAAATCTCACATAATTGCGAAGGCAGCCCAAGTGGATCAATAAAGTTAATTCTTTATGCTTTTCCAAATCACATTTGTGTCTAAAATTTGTCACTGAAATTACTGTCTCGCATAATACTGAGGTAAGGTTAATGGAACAATGGGCAGAGGTACTCTAGTGCAATGTGAAGAAAGGTGCATGCTAACTGCCATTGACAATATCGTATCCCCAGACGTGTGATGCAATATTTCAGAAAGCATTCCATCAACATTTGGAAATGTTGCTGGACAAAGAATCTCTATTTTCCTTGCCGCTTAGCAGTTCAGATCAGGGAATCTACTCCGATGGAGAAAATAACACAGAGAAGTGAAAACAAAATGGGATTTGTTAAACAAGAAGAAGACATCTTAGATTTACACTCAGCAATACATGGTGAAAATGCCAAAACTGCTCGAAGAAGAAAATATCATACTTCAAGAATTCGAAACAAGCCTGATTCTTGAAAAATCAATCATCTCAATCAAGCACAATAAACCAAACCCAAGTCACAATTCCTCAGAAATTAAGAACAACCCACTATAATACCAGTCCCAAGAATAAACTCAAACCCAACTTCGAGAAGCACTCCCTTTCTCCTTCTCAGTTATTGAATCATGCTCTCATTCTTTATCAGAATCGCTTGAACTTGAATCAGAGCTAGAGCTAGATCTAGTGCTTGACTTGTGAGATTTTTCCCCTTGATTACTAGCAAGATCAGTACTCAAACTTTCAGGACTTTCAACATTATTTAGATCCAGCTTTTCATCAGCACCATTGCTTTCCTCTTGTACACCCAATTCATTTGTATTTGACTGCAGATATCTTGAGGTGCCTGCTTCATTCTGTTCAAATAATGCTGATGACTCCAGCACCTTATCTTGTTGATGTTCTGAGGCTTGTCTCAGATCCAAGCTTGGATCCTTTAGAGATCCAGTTCCTGAAATAGACAACTCTGAATCTTTTCGTTCCAAATATTTAATTTCTGCCTCATGCAAACCATCACTAATTGAATCAGGCAGCATCTCTCTCTCTACGCCAATTTTGTTGGATTGCCTAAGATCCAAATCAGCATCTTCTAATTGACTTGGTGGAAAATCCATCTTATGCTCAGAAGGGCTTGACCCTTCATGCAGTCCATGGTCCCAGGAGCCAAACGGAGTGGTATCTTCAAAGGTGAGCTCAGCACCTAGATGCATTCGTGCTTCAAGCACATGCATCCCGGAACTGCTTGCTTCATTGGCTTCACTTTGAGGGGGAATCTCAGTACTTCCAAGCATGACCACCTTTTCTGCTGACATCAATTCAGATATCTTCAAGCTGGACTCAACATCTTGTATTGATTGTGCTTCAATCACTGGCATATCAAGCATGACCTCTTCTGCATTTTGTTTCGTGCAGGGATTTGCAAGCCCAATTTGATTTTGTCTTGGCAACATCTCTTGTTCTGTTGATCTGGAATCTATGTGAATCTGAACTCCCTCAACTGAACTCCCACTAGATAAGTTAGCAAGCTCAGTTGTGTTTGTCACAGACGTTTGAGGTTCTGAGATACATTTAATCTCCTCTACATATTGAGCAACATCATCCTCCTCGGATGGCCATGCATTCATCACAGGTGGTATAGAGATACTTTCATGCATTTTAATAGAGTCACCATCAAGTGGGCTAGTGCTACGTATAGTATCATCCGAGATAGAAAAACCCTCTTCAACAGAACCCACATGCTTTTCAAATTCATTTGAGGTTGTGAGCAGTTCTTTTATGCTAAAATCACCAACTGCATCTAATTCTGATAATAATACTTCATCAATTTCCTTTATCTCATCTGCATCATTTTCAATATCTTCCACATTAACTTGAGAAATAGTTGCCTCTGCTGCAAAATTTATGTCCTCCAAAGCCTGAAGCCGGTCATCATTTCCAAAATTATGAACACTGTTGCTCTCAATATCCGAATAAGCTTCAGCTGCTCTGCTTTCATAAGTCTCGGACAGAATGGAAATGGATACAGGGCTAGTTGGAGAGTTGATCTTAGTTGAAGCTTCCTGCACAAGCTCATGGGGACTTGTGATGTTCGAGTTGTCTCGAGAGCTTAATTCTTCAATTATCTCCTCAGCGATAACTGCACTCTCCTGAGTTTTGTTAGAAAAATTAGAGAAGCTATGAGTTGCGCAAATCATGATGAAGTTAGAAGTATATTTCATATTCCACTCTCATATCTGCTAGAAGTACATTTTATGGAACTGATTTTACTAACACAAAGAAAAAGGACTGAGTATTGCACAAAACTGCATTCCAACACTCAAAAAGCATAAAAAATTGCCATTTGAGAACTAAGGCTTCTGTACAAAATAGAATTGCAACCATATTACCAGTCTAAGTTGAATTACTAGAAAACAAATATAACGACTCTTCCATATTTTCAGCACCTTTTCATCCTTTGGATTTATGGAGAACAAATTCGTGTTTTACATGATGTGACTGCACATTCACTTTATCAATAACTGAGCTGGATCTGGTGACCGAATAATTGAATTTGGAATAGACATCTTTTCCTCCAATAGGAAACAGGTGGCAGGCTCCAAGTTGAGAATATGGATTCATCTGAGTTTCCTCAATATCATTATCTACGACTTTATCATCATCAAGATCTAGAAGTTTGCTGTTGATTCTAGGTCTTGTAATGATCTATTAGCTTCTAGAAGGAGACTTTGATGGAAACTGTACCTAAGTCAGACCAAAGCATCTCAAAAAAAGCTCTTCATCTGTCCTTTTACACTAACCTCCCTATGCAAATCACCATGATCATGAGGACAACCCATTTCAAGTATTCCTGAAGCATTTGTTCCTATTCTGTGTTGAATTCCCCTTTGTACCATCTCAAGTATATCCTCTTTTCTTTTCTTCTTTTTTCCCCCTATTCGGAAATTAATAAAATGGTATTTATTCCTCCAGTTTGTCAGTCAAACCATGAAGGAGCCAATCCATAATTTCAGAAACCCAAAGAAATGTTCTTTATCAAAATAGTAAACTCAAAGGAGCTTATTGTAATTTACTCTTTTACAAGTTTTGCAAACATATGTAACTGTTTCTTTTCCACTTGATTTACAAAACTAGAATACAATTTCATCTCCCCATCCCCATGGAACAATAAAAATGATAGCAATCTCAAGAGTCATATATCAAATTGTTGCATATTCTTTAAACAATGAAAGACCACAATATCATTCAACCAGCTAGTCAAAGGTTTAAGTTACTTGAAATTTATGATAGCACAAAATCCCTCTTACAGGATTTGTTATCTACAACCAAAGTCCCTATTAGTGTTTGTTTACAGAAAAGCCAGTAAGATGAGTTTTTTCCATTCTGGCTATCTTTTTCTTTTTCCTTTCAGTTCTAATTACTTAAAATTTCAAATATACAGTTCCAATGCTTTTCCTAACATTGGTATAGCAACATCTCAGCATATTAAACATGGTAAACTAAATTTTTAATGGACTGGACTCTGAATGACATCTTCCCTGGATGACAATCAGGGAGTCCATACTTTTTTGTTATTTATTTATTTGTTCTCTTGAGATGCTGATAGCAATCGCTCATATGTTAAACTTTGATCTGACCTAAACTTTTTGGTTGCTATCTGATATGATAATATTTAAAAGAATAAAATTTACTTCAAAAGAATACTATGCAGATATAAGTTGCAGTAGAACTTGGGCAGTCCTAAATCATGTATAAGTGCTCATGTTCGCTGGCCAACTCTACTGCATACCTTGACACATAGCCTCTCTATAACTTATCAGCATGTTGGACAAATGAACTTCTTTTCCTCCATTAACAACCAAATGTTCCAATCAGTCGTGTATAGAATTCAGCATTTCCAAAAGGGAAAATGACCTGTTTCATCCCTTACATTTCACAAAAATATTCTTTTCGTCCCTCACTTTTAAAATGAAGCAATTTCATCCCTGACATTTAAAAATTAAAGCTATTACATCCTTGAACCCAATTTTCAATCTGAATCAAACCACCTATCAACCTGATTACAAATTTTGGAGGTATAATTGGTAGATCACTTGGTTAACTCAACTTGAATATAACTCAACTTGAATTCCTACATTGTCATTGTATACACTGATAGTTTTATGTACCTACCATATCGTTTCAATTTAAATTTAAACACATTTATGATACACATTTAGACTCGCAAGCGAATATACTAACGGTGCATGAAAAGATTTACCCAAAAGAAAAACCCGACTATTCCAAAACAAATAATGGCCTTTATGTTATAATATTTATTTTTTTGGTTTGATAAATGTCATGTGAATATGATGAAATTGACCGAGTGACCTATCAATTATATCTCCGAAATTTATTATTGGATTATTGGATGGTTTGATTCAGATTGAAAATTAGGTTCATGGATGTAATAGCTTTAATTTTTAAATGTCAGGGATGAAATTGCTTCATTTTAAAAGTGAGGGACGAAAAGAATATTTTTGTGAAATGTGAGGGATGAAACATGTCATTTTCCCTTTCCAAAACAAGGATTTACTGCAACTATTCTTAAAGCCAACCTGCACAACTTGGTGTAGCAGATATGGCTCCCAACCTTCATAATTTATGGCCTATTAAAGGGTAATGTGCATAAATAAAATGAGATAGGTTAAAGACGACGAAGGAAGCTCATAAGTCATAATGTGGCAAACTAGAAAAGAATGAAGGTCTGAGAACCCACAAGGATATTGACAGTTGAAAGTTAATTAATGTCAGACACATGAAACTCCATTGATGGGTCAGTCAGTAAGGCAAGCAGGCATGTTGTGCATGTCTGCTTAAACGACTTGGAAGAAAAAATGTATAATCAACACGTCATATTTGCTCATAGGACTAGCAAATTAGAGCTACATCTTTACAGCTAGACTATGTAACAATAGAATGCTAAAATCAAGGAAAATGATTTATTTAATGCAGAATTGAACAACTAATGATAATGATAGTAAAAATAATTACCCAAAACAATGACTGAAAAATATTGTTACTTGGGTCAACAACTGTACTACAAAATATAAATCCTTTTTTAGAGAAATGTAGCAACTCTAAAAAGTGACAATTCTTCACAGATAAAGGAAGCATCTATACTATGGACCACAGTACATATGATATAACAAAATCGAGCAACTACACAAATAAAAGGTGTCAGCGTGTTTAGAGATTCAATACTGACTTCTATTACAACCCTCTTAGAAGTTGCCCAAGGCTTGTATGGGCATCTGCTCATTACCTCCTCTATTTCACAGGACAGTGAATCTTATGAATATCTGTCCACATGCCAACAAAACAACTGGTATATTTTCTTTTTCTTTTTGAGTCAAAGGAGATAGTTGTGAAGGGGAAAGGAGCACAGCAAAGACAGTCATCTCAGCGCCCAAATGAATAGAGCTCACAAATTTGATTATCTAAGCATTTTTTTTTAATGCCTCAAAATACCAGCGAGCGGTTACTATTAAGACATATATTGTAATCTAACTTGATTTCAGTGGAAAAAGAGATTCCATCTGAAACTGATGAGAACTCATACTGCTGATCTGAACTTCTGGCAACATATGCCTAATTAATTATTTTATATGCAGCGATAATGTGAATGTTGGGCAATTTAACCATAATGTCCGAATATCCATCAATGAAAAAAGCACTGAAAATAGAGAATAGATTTAAAACCACCAACACAAGGGAAGCAAATACAGAAAGGGGGAGAGGGAGACTAACCTGCCCTTCATGATTAGCCCTGGAATAGGTTTCATCACTAGATTTGTCTAAGAAAACCAACTCTTCACTATATTCAGTTGTAGGCTTCTCTTCTGCAGTAAATTGATCATGTGCAAATATTTGTTTCTCCTTTCCTTCAACATGAACATCATCACCAACTGAATGCTCTGGATGGTATTCTGTAGATTGACCGACAGTGTATGGCATGTTGGCATGCAGAACTGGCTTAACAGCCAGTGAAGGTGTTTCATCTGACTCAACAAACTTTTGATCTTCAGAAGAAGTGGCCATAGACTCCAAAGTTGAATGAACAACATTCTGGACCAAAAGATGAACATCTGCATCAACCAAAGCGAAGCTGTTATCAGCTTGATGCTCACTTCCACGTTGATGTGTAAGATCTCCCTTGACAGCAGTGTCCTGAAATGATTTTGAGTCCCTAGAAGCAAGCTTCACATGTGGTTCAGGTGCTTCAGGAGCACTTGTGCTGTTAGAGACTTCATCAGCTCCTGACAAATCAACTCCGATCATGTGGTTGCCACTTGTATCAGTTGCCATCCAAGTTTCACGTTGATTTTCATCTACTGGAAAAGCAACCGATGCAGACATATCATTATCATCAGAGGCATTCTTGTCCCTCTCCTCCTTACCAGATTCAGATTCTCGTTCAGTAAAAGAAAGAGGTCTCTTAATTGACAGAGTTGGCATTTCCGTTTCCACATGAAAGTCAGATGACATAGAAGATGAAGAACAGTTCTTCCTAACTGCAGGTGGACTTGAATCATAAACTGGCTCCTTCTGTGGAGTATCACGGGCCATATTCAAATCTGACCCTTCTTCTGAAGGCCTTGCAGAAACACCAGCCTCTTCACCAACATCAATGCATCCTTCCACAAGATTAGAAAATCCTCCTACTTCCCTCTCTGAAGAGATCCTTTCACTCACATCTGACAATGAAGATGAGCTTGAAGTACTTTGATATACTTGTTTCACAGCTTCTGCATTTGAACAAGTTTCAGTTTGATCCAATTCCATGCTACTGGAAAAGCTTCCTTCCTCAATTGATAGTGATTCAATTTTGTGATGACTATCAACATGCAGCAAACCAACTTTGACCCCATTCGCTTCCACATCTCTGTGCTCAATTTCGTCCAATTCCAAGGTGTCTGTTTCTTCAGAAGATTGGCTTCCATGTCCAACATGCTCCGAGACATGCTCTATCTTGGAGATATGCTCTTGTTCATGAGAAATATCCTCTTCAGTGGGGCTCTTATATTCTTTCATTGAGATGAGATCTGATTCTTGGGATATATCTTCTTCAGAGAGGTTCTTGTCATCCAGATCTCCAGCTGGGTCCATCAGCACCACCTCAGGAACTGAACTCAGTGCCTCTGCCTGATGAGAAATATTTTCTTCAACCAGGGACTTCTCATCTATGTCCCCAGCTGAAGCCACAGAATCTGTTTCAGGAACAGAACTTGCCTTGGAGTCACTAAGTTCACTGGATTGTCTTTGAAAAGATGAATAGCCTGCTCCATCTGAATCCATCCTTTCCGCGACAAAGTATGGTCTTAACCTGCTGTCTTGTCTCTCTTGCCTGCTTGGGCCAAAGATTGAAGGCCCTACATTAAAACTCTCATGCCTCCGGAAGAGGGGCTCTTTTGGTTGAAATGAGGTGAACTCTTGTTGGAAACTGTCTCCCATAAGATCAGGTTTCTCTTCACTTGAGTCATAAGGCAGATCAAAAGGGTTTCTCCTTGGCAGTAAAATAGATGGGGCAGATCCTGGTATTGGAGGAAGTCCCATATCATCATAGGAATCATAAGCAAGGTCAAAAGGATTGTTTCTTGCAGTTGAAATGGGTGCGACATTGAAAGGAAGATCGGCACTGTCCAAGTCTATCAAGTTCCTTTCGGCCATCATGCTCATGGTCTTCCGTGCTCTTCTTCTTGCTATAAGACTCTCCAAACGCTGGTTCCTTTCAAGCTCAGATGTCCCCAAGTCCATGAGATTCTTTTGATCCTCTTCTGTCCATGTAATAGCAGATTTTGTTTGGCCCTCTCTGTTTCCTTGTACTTCATCCTCATCATCGCCATCATCATTTTCCTCATCAGCAGCTTCCGCATCTTCCTGCTTTTCATCATTATCATCATCTGATTCACTACTGCTGTCACTGGATCTAAGAGAACGTTCTGAAGCAGCATCTGAGACATCATGTGACAATGAAACAGGTTGAGGAGCATCCTCATCTAAAAGGGGGTGGAGCTCATCAAGCATTGGAATTATGTCAGCCATGGAAGCATCAGGAGAGGAACTTTCAGCTCTATCAGACCCAGAATCCAAAGCCTCATCATCTTCTACCTCCTCCTCCTCCTCTTCTTCTTCTCGTTCCTCCCCTTCCTCGACATGTTTCCAAGGTGAGCCAGGAGGAGAATCTAGAGAATCTACATTCACCCTTTCAGAATCAAAGGATTCAGCTGGTGATTTATCATTTTCCAATTCAAGATCCTCATCATCTGTCTTAGCATTGCCATCAACTGGTCTGTCATCATTTATTTCATTTTTCTCCTCAAATCCCTCATCACGTAATTTTCTCCCTTCTTCCGCAACTAGCCTATTCTCAAATTCAATATCCTGACACCTTGCCTTGATGAGTGGAGCTCCATAGTCCACTCCATCACCTCGATGAAGCTCACTAGCCCTGTTTGCAATTGAACTTGCAACACCATTTAGCTGCTCTACCACATCCCCTCTCCTATCTGTGAACTTCTCAACATTGTAGCTCTCATTCTTCTCAACAACAACATCATCCCCAAATACCCCAGTTCTCAAAGATGCAATCTCATGGTTCGTTTTCTCATCTCTTTCGATTTCAGGTATATTCGGCTGCCCAAAACTTAAAAGGGTGCCCAGCAAAACAGCAGTGCAAACAAGAACAGGAGAAGCAGACACCAGTAAAGAAAACACAAAAGGAGATGATCTGTACAGAAATAATAAAAAACACAGCATACCCACAAGGAACGGATGACTGCAAAATGATCTATAACATCTTTTGGTCGTAAAGATCACAATTTTCCTCATTTTAACCACCATCTCCAACATTTCAACAGCCATTTTTCTTTTTTCTCGAAACGCTCCCTTCTTCTTTTATCTTTGATAATCTGCACACAAATACATTTTTACAAACAATCCCCAGTTCCGTAAGATCAAGTCAATTCATATCTCAAACAGAAAACTAAATTATGAAGTACATAAACCAAAAACCAACCTAAAGAATCAGAGAATTAAGTGAGGAAGAACAAAATTGTAGAATCAGATAATATTGCAATCAGTACCCAAAACCCAAACTATGGAAGATAAGATTTGTTTTTCTTTTACAGTGGCAGAAAAAAAAATGAATGAAAAAATTTAATAAAAAAAGAATTGGAAACAATTACTTTACCAGCTTGAAACAGGAGATCAATCCCAGAAAATACAAGAAGAAAATGAAGTGGAAAGTAATGATCTTCTGTGACAACACTCGTATAATGCTGAGCTTTGTGAATGTATGCGAATAATTGTATAAAGTGATCGAAGAAGAGAAAAGGCAATGTGGAAAAGGAAAAGTCCGTTCTTTTCTTTTTGGTTCGGTCAACCTTCCTGTTCTGTTTTTCCAAGGTGAATTAATTTTTTATCTTTTTTGAGATTTTGTTTCGGATCTTGGTTTATATTTGATCGGACAAATAATCGAATCCATTAGATCAAGCCCTTTACAAGTTATGATCTGCAGGAAAGGATTAGATGGATATGATTCCATTAGAAGTGCTTGTGGCTAGCGGTAGCAATAGGGCGGGAGTGGGGCGGGGGACACCTCCCCCAACCCCTGTCTCGTTGCATTTTAATTCCTCCCGCCCCCACCCCGTCCCCCGCCTCCTCCGCGGGGACACCCATGGCCGTGAAGTTAAAAAAAATTTATTATATAATTTTATTATAATTAAATTTGAGCAAATAATCAAGTACTAAAATATCAACACATCACCAAATTATTATTCATTGTAACTTCACAATTGAAACTTATAAAAATAATTAAACAAAGGTTATTTGAATATAATCTAATTTGTTAAAACAAATATAACTAAAATAATCAAGTTTTCACTTTTGATACAAATACAATCACTAAATTATTATTGTGTTTTTTTTTATAAAAAAATGTTATTGTATTAAGTGTAGTTAGGAATTTAACATAAATGTATTAATAAATTTAGTATAAATAATTAATAATTTTTATTAATAGACATGTATAATTAGTAGTATAATTGATAATATCATTATATATATATATAATTATATACATATATATTTTCAAACGGGGGGAAAAATTCCCCCCACCCCGCCCCACCCGCCACCCCAACCCCCGTCCCAATGACTCCCCGCAAGGGTGCCCGCCCCCATTGCTATCCCTACTTGTGTCTAAATAAGATAATACCCCAAGAAATCTCCTACTAATATATATGTGATATATTTGTATATACCAGATGTTATTTGTTGTCAATATGGCCTTGGGGTTGGACGTGGGTGATCATTACTTTCTCGCGTTTAGGATTTTTATTCTCATCTTTTACTTTAATTTGTCCAATTGTTTAAGTTGGTTGGGATGGCATGGCAGCAACAATGGATCAGACCGGGACATTCACTTTACGGTTAAAATTGACTCAGATTGGCTGCCGAGTGCCGACCAATTTGGCCCGTCTTTTTATTTTTTCTGAACCTTTTTTTTGGGACGGGAAGGGGGGGTGGGGGAGGAGGTTAAAAACGAGGTTGGACTTCAACTAACCACTAACTAGTACTAGAGGTGAAGTCCCCGCTAGTCTCCGGAATGGGGTGTTTGTGTGTTTCAGTTTTGATTAATAATATTAGGAGGCATAAAACGCGCGTTGTGCATTGGAATAAACATAAAACATGCCCCCTTAAGCATATGGATTCATGGAACAAAAATGTTTGTTGGTTAATAATTTGTGTACACGGCTAAGCATAAATATACATGAATAAGTAGAAGGCAAAATCGTTTCACGAAAATAGTATGAATATTTTTTTAGATTTATAGAGAGGTATTGCTGGAATTTAAAGTTAATACTTTTTTAGCTAGAAATTGGTGAATTCTTCTCCTATCTTACTCTATTGCTTGTTTGGCATGAGAATAAAGTTCAGCATTTTTCATGAAGGGTAGAAGTATAGGATGTAATGATTCGAATATATCGTACTTCGTAGGAGAGAAAAAGTACTGCTGAGATATAGAGCCACTTTAGCTGGAACTTGGAAAATTCTTTTTTTATCTCACTCCATTTCTTGTTTAACATGAGAATCAAGTTTACTATTTTTCATGAATTGTAGAATAGAGTGTGACCACATGTATATATTATGCTTCACAGGACAAAAAAGGGAAATACTAAGCTAAATATAAAGACATCTTCATTGTATGCAACAACATTGATCCAATTGTGATATAGTAGCTTGAAAAAAAAACAAGTGATTGGATTCTTAGATTTAGTTGACTATGAGTTAACCGAGCTAAACAGTGAAATTAAAATGCCATGGGTACAGTCTTTGAATTCCTCTTAAGATGAATCGGATAACAATAAAAGAGTTCTAACCTTATGGAATATAAAGGAATATTTCACTGGCACAAAGAGTGTGGTCAACAACCAAGCTGTATCAATTCTAGTGGAAAGTCCTTTGGCTCATACCAATGGTATAGGTTATATACCCACTTGTACAAATTATTGTCAGTGTCTTCTCATTAAGTTTAGACAAGCTAGCTTGCTCGTGCATGCAGTCTACAGATATTAAAAAAAGGCATAAACATGAGTGATTATCAGTATAGTAAGTTAGTAACCAAGGAATGTATGTTTTGTGAGGACCCGAAAATTTGTTTTTATATTTTGTATTTTAATCTACTTGTCTTGAATTTTTGGTTGATTTAATGGTTAAGTCATGACTTTTATTACTATTGCCCCATTCAATTTGTTGCATATTGAGTTTCATAGTGCATTATGCTAATGTGACCAACTAGTGAGGTGTGTGCAATAAATTTGGTGTTAAGAGGGAGTTTTGTACAAAAAAGGTTTATGTGACAAAAGGTGTTAAGAAATGATTGGAGGAAAGCTAGATATTTTAGTGTATGAGAGGCAAATGGATAGGTATTTCTTCTTGGCTTGCCAAGTGTCAATCATCTAGAAACCTTTAACCAAGACCAAGCCTTCTTCTTATCTTCACCAAGCTTTCATTCCATCCCCATTTCTTCTTCTTTTCTTCTACCTTGGCCGAATTTATAGAGAGAGAAAGGGAGAGAAAAAACTCCTTTCCTAACCTTAATTTCTTGTCTATTTAGTGAGAAAACATGAGAGAAACCTTAATCTACTCCATTAAACCTTGAATCAAGCTTGGAAGGAAGCTCTTGAAGAAGTATTTGGAGGAGAAAAGCCTTGCAAACTTCTTGATTTGCTTGTCATCCTAGGTTTTGGAGGTAAAGAGGTAAACTTAGCTAGAAACCCTAGTTTTCTTCCCTTATCTTTCAGTTTAGTTGAGGTATGATGTTATAGAAGCTAAAGGAAGGATCTTTATGAAAGATTTCATGTTTTTGTCAAATTATGTTGCAATTTCTACTTTTGGTGTGTAATCTATTTAGCTTAGTTTAGAGATTTATATATGTGCAATTTTGATGAAAAGGAAGGATTTTAGGGAGGATTCATGTTTTTCAAGTTATGCTCTAAATTTTCAGCTTTGGTGCATAAGATATATAGTTTAGTTTAGAGTTTCTATAAGTGAACCTTTGATGGATTTCTTGTGATACGAGCAGTGGGACCATCACTAGCTCGTGCCAAGATGCTTGAGAGTTTTTTCAATCAAATCCATGATGTTCAAGGCTCTTGATACGATTCTCGATCAACTCGTTTCGAGACACGTAGCACGCTTGCCCAAGGATCTAGCGAGGTTGTCCAACGCTTGGATTGCGGGACCTAAAACCAAAACGAACGACACGAATTGGTTGAAGGGTAGTAGAACGACAACTCCAACAGAGGTGATTACTCTAATGGATAGGTCGGTAGAACAATCAAGGACCTTCGCAAGATTGCTCAAGAACCCTTGCCAAAAGCAAGTAAAGGATCGAATGCTCTCAATAATTGAAGAGAAACAAATCAGAATTTTATTATGAAAATTGTGTACTCGTTAACCGTACAAAGTGAGCCTTTATATAGGCTAAGGGGCTAATGAAACCCTAAGAAACTAGATAAGGAAGGTCGGCCACTCCTTGGACAAGGTGGGCCGGCCCATTACTCAAATAAACTAATCTAATCCAACTCTAAACAATTGAACCTAATACTAAGGCCTAGGGCCTAGTTGACCAACCCTTCATGAGCTCTCTTCGTGGGCTTGGATCATCATGTAGACAACTTGATTATCACCTTCCAAACCTTCAATATCCCGATGGACTCCTTGTTGGTCTTGAACATTTCGCACAAGAGTTTGAAGGGACTCCTTGAAGCGCTTGGCCCGTGCACGTGTGACTGGATCCAATGGAACTCGAACTGGATCATTACTTGGGTTAAGGTCCGTGCACACATCAGTCCCCTCCACTTGAGAAGGATTTGTCCTCAAATCTGGATCCTCCTCGCCAAGGAATGGGCTCAAGTCGGTGACATTAAAAGTCGCGCTAACAGTGTACTCCTTAGGTAGTTCCAATTTGTAGGCATTGTCATTGACGCGTTGGAGCACTCGAAATGGTCCATCACCCCTTGGGGATAGCTTCCCTTGGCGTTGCTTGGGAAATCTTTCTTTTCACAAGTGTAGCCATACCCAATCGCCAGGTTCAAAGGTCATCTTGCGATGGTACTTGTTAGCTTGCTGGATGTATTGCTACGTACGCTTCTCAATATTTGCACGAGCAGCTTCATGTAACCTGCGCACATAATCAGCTTTCTTTTTCCCATTTAAGCTTGTGTGCTCAGAGGAAGGTAAGGGTGCTCAATCAAGGGGAGTCAGGGGGTTAAAATCATATACAATCTCAAATGGTGAGTAGTGTGTTGCACTATGAACAGTTCTATTGTAAGCAAATTTCACATGTGGCAAACACTCTTCCCAAGATTTAAGATTCTTTTTAATCAAAACCCTGAGTAATGTTCCAAGTGTGCGATTGACAACCTCAGTTTGGCCATCGCTTTGGGGATGACTTGTGGTTGAAAACAATAATCTAGTGCCAAGCTTAGACCACAAAGTCTTCCAAAAATAACTCAAGAACTTCACATCTCTATCACTAACAATGGTTTGAGGCATACCATGCAAGCGAACAATTTCTTTGAAGAACAAGTTAGCAATATGAGATGCATCATCAGTTTTGTGACAAGGGATGAAATGAGCTATCTTCGAGAATCTGTCAACTATCACATAGATGGAGTCATTACCCCTTGGTGACCTAGGTAGGCCCAAGACAAAGTCCATAGACAAGTCTACCCAAGGATGATATGGAATGGGCAATGGGGTATACAAGCCATATGGATTTGTTTTAGACTTGGCCTTGTGACAAGTGACACATCTACCAACCATGCATTCAACATCCCTACTCATATGGGGCCAATAGAAGTGTTCTTGCAACATTGCTAAAGTCTTAACAACACCAAAATGTCCCATGAGACCACCACTATGTGCCTCTCTAACCAAAAGATCACGAATGGAAGAATTAGGGACACACAACTTATCTACATGGAATAGGAATCCATCA